ATTTGATTATTTTTTATTAACATATTCAAAAGTTATATATTTTATAATTTCAAATATAAGAAGAAATTAGCACTACAACATAAATGAGATAATTTAGTTAATCAAATGTAATTTTTTAATTCAGTAGTTTTATTAGTAATAGAATATGTAATTAAATTATTTTGAAATAAATTAATTATCGAGAATTAAAAATTAAGGAATTAAAGGGAATACTATTTGTTTGTGTAATATGTTGGAGATGGCTAAATAAGATGGTGCGAAAATTGCATCATTTTGATGCGAAAGTTGCACTGTGGTTATTGCTACATATTCTCAATGGAAAAGGGTAGGGTTGGATGAGATAAGGTTCTTGTTCTGGTAAGGATATGGAAGTAATTTCATTCTTAAGATTGCATGTGGAAATTTGTGTATAGCTTGGTGATAAAATCAGTTCATTATAAGTAGAAAAGGGAGTGCTTCCTTTATGAACGCTAAAAGTCATTAGAGAAAAAGCCTATTGATTGGAGATTGTAAGGGGACACTGTTAGGTTTTGTGACAAATTCTATGTGATTTAGAAGTTTGTTGCATGAAGGAAACTTGTTTAATCTTGGTTTAGAAGTCTTGGTTGATTGGATTCCATGTAATTTGGTTGATTGGAGGAAGTTTAGGGTACTTGAGTTCGTAGAGTCCTAAGTTGTGGAGATCAAATTTTAATAATAATTAAGAGTTTGACTTGAAAAGAGACTCTTGGATGGCAAAATTCATGTTTTGGAATGTTAACCCGAGTTAGCGCCTAGGAGCTACCATCGCTGCGCCTGAGCGCTAGGCATAGCGTCCAGGCGCTGTGATGTAGCGCCTAGGTGCTGCAACAGTAACTAATCTCGGTGGAACCGTTTCATCTTAATTTTGAGATTTCTTCTTCATCTTGGACTCTACCTCATCCACAATTTCGAGATTTGACTTCTATAAATACTCCACAAGGTATAGACATTTCAAAAAAAAAAGGTGAAAAGAAAAGACTCAAGAGACATTATAACGATTAGATCATTATTATATACATTAGAAATCATAGAGAATTATTTAAATTAAATTGAGAAAATCAATTCTTGTAAGACAATTGTTTATATCTTGGTATAATAAATTCTCGAATTCCACAATTTTCTTAATTGTTGAGTGATCCATTAAATTTCACTTTATCCATATTTTTGTCTTTACTTATTTGGCTGGTTTCTCAATAAGTGGGATCAAAACGTTCTTTATATCGGGCTGGTTCATAACAGACACCAAATAAGATACATGAATAGTTCTTCATGGTGTTAAAGATTTGAACTATGATTTAGACAATGAGTGTATGATCGAATTTAGATGCTCGAGAAAAGTATGTTGGTCTATTTGAAACCATTATGGGGTTTCAATTGATTCACTCTAAAGAATTAGAATATGTTGCATTTTTTTTTGCTGAGTTTCATCCACTGCATTTTTAGCTTATTCTGTCCTTATTTCAGGATGTCATATGTGAAGGTCTCAAGCAAGTGATGCCACGGAAGCATGGAAAATCAATCAAGGAAAATGTAAACGTGTAATTTTTTATGCAACCTCAAGGAAA